ACTGCCACAGAGTCTATACAACCACAAAGGATACGGACAGAACAGAGTTAATATTCCAATGTTTCAGCTTCTAAGCGACTTATCCAAAGTCATATAGGTAATAAATGAAAACCCAAGATTTGAACCCAGGTCCTTTGATTCCTAAACCAAGGCTCTTTCTGTAATATACTGTCCCTGTTGCTAGGCATTTTGAGGATATAATCTCACAGGCTTTTCTATAGAAGCATAAAACCAAGGAGACATGAGAAACATTATATGCTCTTATAATGGCTACTTTAATCCTCCTCTATAGAGACCAAAGAAATCACAAACTACAGAGGACCCAGTCCATCAAATTCTCTCTGAATACCTTGTAATCCCTGTAGAATCTGTATTCTATGGGTCCTCAGTGCACTCATCTCCACAGTTATCTAAAAATAAAGTACTTTGTTAAGCATTTTGAAATCCAACTGCAGAGATGACACACTTTCATTAAACGTTCCATTTGCTGTTACCTGCTGTTTGAGCATAAGTAGCCTCTGAACTTCAACATAAGCTGTCTGAAGTGTTGCACGGGCTTGCAGAAGGTTATTATCCATGCACTGCAATGATTTGCTTAGTTCTTCTTCCCTTAAAGAAATATTCAGCAGCTGGTCAACCTGAGAACGTTCTGCCAGAAGAAGACATAAGGCTCAGTTTAATACTGAAGACTTCCCTTCAATACAGCTCCTCAGAAGTTGGAACTACATCAATTATCTAGGATAAGCCTTTACTTTCTCTCCAGTAGGTCACAGGAGACTCATCAAATTTCACAAATCCTGCAATCAAGCCTAATGCTCTCAGAGCCAGAAAGCACAAGTGAGCACTGGTAAGATGGAAGCACCTGCAGGCTCAAGAGTACCGCCTATGGTACCATCTTCCACCAACAGCCCTCCCAGTGAAATCTTCGTCACAGGCAAATCAGCTTTTGTAGGTTTCATCTCCCACTCTTCTTTTACCTACCACCCTCTTCCCCCAAGGCTTTTTTGCGTCAAGTAGGACCAGACCTGAACTGCTAGGACTCTCCTCCCAATCCATATTTTTCTAGTCTGTTAGTTAATGTAAAATAGTTCTCTTTATTAGAGAAGTCTTCCTGAAGATGTAGCTTTGAAATAGCACATTTAAGTTGCTTTAAATAAAATGTTCAACTATATATACATATTTGTCATCTTCATGTTTGTCTCCTTCCCATTCAGGATGCCAAGACCTCTCCCCTAAACACCAGACCCACACATCCAACTACCAATCTGCTCTCTCTCTAACTGTCTGTCTCTAAGGGATACTCAGGGAACTCATCAGGCTGCTTCCATGGAGTTTTCTAGCTCTGCAAATGATATCATCCATACAGTTACCCCAGCCAGAAACGGGTCATCCTTGACTCCCATCTTATCCCTTGCATCCAATCACTTCCTGCACTAGCCTTTATACAGAACAGGATTAGGGTCAGTGGAAGCAAGAATAAGAAGCAGCATATCAATAAGGGAGCCACCCTAGTAACTTTTCTCTCCTTAATTCACACAAGAAACAACCAAGATGCCTCAAAAATGGGAAGTGAGTGAAATGGCTATAAATGACCAAGAGGAACAAAATTTTTACTAAATGGTCTGTTCCTCTTCATCCTGTTTGAAAGGCGCAATGAGACTTTCTGGCTTTTATATTGAACTCAATTTGTCAAGATATATATAAACTTTAGCTTACAGGTCTATGGGGCATCATATATTTCTTCTACAGCTATAACTGGATATAGCAGGAAATCAAACTTTTCTACTCCCTTTAGCAAGACAACAAAAATACAAATAAATAAACAAATAACAGTGTTTGATAACCACAAGCTATACTATGTGGCAAGATATAAAAATGCTTAATTGTTGCAAGAACAATTTCTTTCTGCTAGAATATTCTGCACTATACCTTTCTTTCCTTTAATTTTCCTTCTTTTATTTTTTCTCTCAAGACTTGGGAGTTCAGGAGAAGATCCATCCTAAGGAAATAAAGAAAACTGAATAATATTAAATACATAAAGGCCATTATTTAGGAGGGGGAAAAATCAATTCTAAGACAGTCATACATTATTAGTCATAATTATTACTACCATCTCTAACATAGTAGTAGGAGTCTATGTGGTATGAACTCAAATATTAGTTGAATGAATGTATCTGATTAAAAAAAATAAAAATAATCTAAGGTCAAGAACCTTCCTGATCTTCCTAGCAATATAGAGGGGGCAAAGCCTACAGAGTTTAGGTGAAGAATTCACTTTGGTAAAGCAAGGCACGGATGCAAGTGTGGACAGAGCCAGCAGAGAGAGGGAGAGAAAAAGAGAGTGAGAGAGAGAGAGTGTGTGTGTGTGTGTCAGTCATTGTGGCAGTTTCTATTTTAATTTCAACAGGAAAATCTTTACAACAATAAGCTAAATAGTCTATGAAATAAGCCCCAAAACATCTGCTGTCATCAGATATCTCTCTCAGTGAACAATATCCACTATAGTGTCTAGCTCAAACAGCACAGTTGGAATTAGAACCCCGATCTACAAACATGTCCTTCATTGTTCTGCTATATTGCTCAGGAAATAGCCCATTTTCTCACAATGCTAGCTAGATTCCAGACAGTATCACCACCAGCAAGTCTAAGCAGTATTAGCAACAGAGATGCCAGAAGAGAAGTGGTGTCAATGCAGGCATGGATTCTGAAAGGGCCAGACTG